CAGGGACCACAGGCTCCATTTGGGTACAGGCTGGAACCATGGGCTCCGTTTTGGTGGAGACCCCAGTGGTCCATGTGCAGGGGGGAGCTTCAGGGTGTGATGCATCCTTCCCAGACTACTATGGTCCTCATAGTAGTCTGGGCTACTACTATGGAGACCCTTCCCTTCAGGCTCCCCACCTGGAGCCTTGTGGCCCTCCTGCCTGCCCTCCTGTGCAAATTCCCATGCTAACTCGCACACCAGGACTAGAAGCACGCCTGTTTGTGTGCTCTGTTCACACGGCTTGGGTCATGCAGCTCCCTGGGGACTGGGCCAAATAGGAGCAGAGGGTGCGGAGGGTGTGACCCTCCTCCGCTCCTCTCAACTGCCCCGCAGCTGTGCTAATTCCCTCCCACCGTGGGCCCCACTTACCTCCAGGCTGCGCTGGGGGTTGGGGTCAGAGTCTGCCAGGGCCCTCTGGTGGATCTAGGGGTCCCAGAGCTCATGGAGGCACAGTGGGCTTCTGCCCATGCATCTCACGCTGGAGCCAGGGACACACTGCTGCTTCTGCCACTGATGGGCCCTTTTAAAGTTGAACTCTGTCTCATTTGATAGTGCTGTCTCAGGACATCATCATTCTGTGAATATCTGGAGGTTAGATGACTGCTGCTGGAAAAGTGCCTTAGGCAGGGACTAGCATACAGTGACAAACATTGCACCCTGATTTTTCAATTGGATTATAGGGAGATTTTAGGCCAGGAGGTTCTCTCACCTCCTCCCTTCACTGTTGAGTCCCCAAAGATCCAAGTCATGGAGCTGTTCCAAACGATGGACCAACAAGGCTAGTGACTCATAGGAACAGTGTGAATGATTTTTGCTGTGAATTGTTTTCTGTCTGCTGTGTGATCAAGGTTGTTCAGACTTGGGCTTGGTTGACTGTCACTGGGGTAGCAAATCCCTCTGGGGAAGTGACAGATGCCACCACCTCACTGGTCATGGTTGAGCTGATTTTAGTTCAGTGAGGCTTGCAATGTGCTGGGGGAGCTAACTGAGTATAAACTCACCCTTTGGATGTTTGTCCCTTTTTGGCTGGTATAACAAAAAGGCGAGTCAAGATGCCAGCTCCCTCTGGACAGGCTGTTGTTATATCTATGCTCAAGAACCATGTCTTGCCGATGGCAATCTTGCCGAGTGTCATCCTTTCTCAGAAAACCTCTCCAGGTCATGTTGCTAAGGATGGTGGGAGAAGGCAGCTGTGACCTGCTCTGGACTGAGGGACCATTTCTCTGACCACTTTTAACCCAATTTCTACTCCAAGTGTGTGACACACAGGCTTTCTTGATTGGGGAGCTCCTCCTGGTATTACTTACAATGATTCCTTCAGATGCCTTGGAAGCCTAGAATACAATCAGCAACAAGGTTTTGTTGACTTCTTTGGGGTTAATGATTGGTTCTGGTGGCTTATTCTGCAGAGATCCAACAACAGGGCTGAGCAATCACCTGTCTGTTTTGAAGGTCCTCTTGTGCCAGTTACTGGTCCTTCACCTGTACATTTGTACGTAAGACAATGGGAGAGGAGAGAAAAGTGTTTTGGCATTTTAGGTCATGGGCATGCAGATGATCCCATGTAGGCCTTTCTCCTATGATGGGCTAAAGCAACTCATTTCTGAAACAGGGTCACACAGTGTGTGTCTACATGACATGCTACGTCACCATAACAATGAGCTACAGTAATGTAGCTCATCACTATGACGACATAGCGTCAGCAGGCATGAACCATGACACCTCCGCTACTGTGCAGTAGCAATTTCCTACTGAGCAGTAGCTGGTTGCTACTGCACAATAGAGTCAGAAATGATCCGTGCAGCACCAGGACTGCGCAGTACCAGCAGTTACTGTACAGCTATTTAGTGCCTGCCACAGCCATTCAGTCTCAGCTGTGAACCAAGGCCTTTATCTTTGAAGAGATCGATGGAGCCTTCCTGTTTAAAGAGCTCAACAAAAGCATATGGTACAACAGGGCTCCAGTACACTAAGGGCTTATTTAATGAGGGGAATAAGAGTAGTGATATATTGTACACTATTGATTCCTCCATGGTTCCCTGAGTGGATGGTCTCATTCCACATGACAGGTACCAGGGAAATGGATCAAATAGAATTGCCAAAAGTTCATCTTAGTACAGAATCAGGGTGTCCACCCAGAGAGCTGGTGTGAAACAGTAATCACATTTTAAATTCACACCCAAGCTTATTTTGCAATAGCCTCTCTGCATGGAGAAGCCCCAACTCTGAGCAGGCCACACCTCCAAATTTGCTACTAGCACTCTGTGCTAATTGGAGAGGTGATGTTGTATCTGACATGTATTTACACAAACATGACAATGCTTGCTTTAGAGTTAAAAAAATGCGGCTGATACACAGAATTAATCACCTCATGCTGCTGAAGTTGCCAAGCCAAAACAAGAAGGTCGTCTCCTCTAATTTAAAACTGTGATCACGTTGTTTATGGGAAGCCTCAGTAAGACACATCTCCCTTGTCCTAAATCATCATTCCCTGGGGGAGATCTTTTCCTGCTAGTTATTACATTAAGCACTTAGTGCACTGTAGTTTATTGCATTAAGGACACATAACCAGTCCTTTGAACAAGGACTGTTACCCAGATCTCCCCCTTCCCAGGTGAGTGTCATAACTGCTAGGCTGGGGAGTCATGCCTACTTTCTCTCTCTGGCTTGATGAATATTTAATTCTGTTATAGATCAGTGGAACAGTAAAGAATACCCAGAACAGCATATAGTTGGGTGGTCACAGCATACTTATAGGTGGTGAGGCTTGGAAACCTTCTAGCACAGCCTAGAATTGGTCCCAAATCTCATCCATCATGGAAGAGTCCTTAACCACAAGGATGTCATATAAAAGGGGAACACTACCATCTCCATCCTTCTTTAAAAAGAAGCCTGTGACTCCTGGCTGGTGTTTGAGGAAGGTGGGGTTCAAGGCTGTAAGTCCTGATTGGATACAGTTGCCTTCTATTAGCATTGAGTGGGGTCCTAAGCCTCAGAAAGGAACAGGATTTAAGACACAACTCTGTCATCAGCATTTCCTATTGGCTATCTCTCCACTCTCAACTCACCGTACTGACCATTGTAGAGTCTACATGGAAGTGCCTAATGCTCCCCACATGCTCTAGAGAGGGCTCAGAGGCCTAACTCAAAGCTGTGGATTCCATTTAGGGACCTTTGTGAATCTGGATCAAGTCTCTAATCAGTGGGTGCATCTACACATTCCCCCAACTGTGCATTTGTTACTGTGCCGTCATTTAGTACTTGCTTTAGTGTTAAAAAAACTAAACACGGTAGCATCAGTGTCACAGTTCCTGGCTGCCCATGCTACGTCACCATAGTGACAAGCTGCAGCGAAGTCGTGTTTTGTGTAGACACATCCAGTGGGTGATAGGAGGTAGCATATTTTTGACCATCAGGGCTCCTGCATGGAAATGGTTGTGAATCCTTAGTACAGATATTAATACTTGCCATACATCCCTGACCCTCAGGGTCACCATCTATAAAATAGGGCCAATCATACTCACCTGTCCCCCAGAGGCATTGTGAGACTTAAAAGATAACTGTGTGTCAAATCATTTGAGTGGAAGATGCTGTCAGAACACGAAGTGTTTCTAAAACTATGGTTACCGGTGGCTGCAGAGGTCTCTAAGGTTTTAAATGTCACTCATCTGGGCGAGGTAAGGCTTTCTCAGGACTGGTAGCAAAGATCACACACATGAGCACACATACACACATACACACACTCAAAAAAAGGCAGCAATCTTCAAATACATGCATGCCACACACAGACCTTGCTCCATAAAGGTTAATGCTTTCTAAAAGGGTTAGCATTTTCAGGGAGATGATTGAGCCCATCACTGAATACTACACAAACATCACTGTCTCTACGGGGGGGGAAAAACCCCCAAACCCTATGGCATTGCATTTGACAACACATCATTTTAGTAGGGAGATACTGGAGGAAAAAAATGCATAGAGATCTCCTGGTATTTATTCCATCAGTTATAACAGTACCATAGAATAGGGATGGTATATAAGGTGTAGATAGTCAAATGAAAACATGGCATGGTTACAACACAATGTATATACAGGTAGATTTCCCCAGTCATTACACAAATGGCATGTTTGTTTTGCTCTCCTGTAAAGTACCTCAAATAGAGTCAATCCCACACAGTAGAAACAAAGTAGAATCTGAATATTTCCTTTCTTACACTGAAGGACATGTAGGGCCTGAGATGATGGAGTACCAACTAGTTTGGGTTCAGTTTCTGACTCTGCCACTGACTCAGGTAAATTTTCTAAGTGCTTTGTGCCTCAGTGTCCCCCTCCATAAAATACAACTGATGGCACTCTACTTTCTTTTGAAAAACACTTTTGGGTTCTGTCATTCACTGTTGTTATTAATTGCTATTGCTACAGATCCAGGGAGATTTTCCTTCATGAGTTGTCCTTAGAAAGAAAGCACAGTGAATGCCTACTACCCCTACTTGCAAGCTTGCTCTACATCTCCTCCACTCCGGTAGAAGTCAAGACAGAAGATCTCAGGCAGGAGAAGTCTGTGTTCCCACTCATTGGCACAGTTCAATCACTCTCCAAGGCCATCACACGCTTCCCTCGCTCCTTTGCTCAAATGAGTAAAATGGGGTGACCCTGTGGGTAATGGCATGGAGAGCCTATATCATAGGGCCGGAAAGGTGTTTGGGGGACAACAGGGTTGCTTTCTTGTTCTAACCTCAGACTGGAAGACACTTCATGTATATTGGCAAGTACAGGACAGGTAAGTCTGTTTTAGGGACTCTAGGCTGAGCATGGCTTAGAAAAGGTACCCAACTCATGCCACCCAGGGGAACAAACTCAGTGGGTTTCCCACTGACTAATTTTTCATAAACCATGGCCACCGCCAGACCATCTACTGTGCCCCCCCTACTCCAAACATTACGTGTTCAAGAATGGGGTGGTATTGTGGTAAGGGGTACAGCCAAGTCACATAACAGAACATTTTTCAGCTGACTGCTTCAGGTCCTCCAGGGTGGCCTGGGCTTTATCCTTCAGGGAATCCAGGTCCAGGTTCTGGATGTTGGTCAGCTGTCCAATAACTGAGTTCTTTTCCTCTTCCTCTTCGTCTTGCTCGATCATCTTGGCCAGCTCTTTTGGAAGCTCCACATCCCCTCCTGCCAGCTGGATCTGGTTATCATCTGTTTCATTCTATAGAGTCACATTGATCAAAGGAAACAGTGAGCAAGCGTATCAGAAAGGTCCTGCTTTAGTCTTTTACTTAAGCTCATGTTCATTTTATAAGTGAATGCCTACATCCCACTATGGGCACAGAGATTGCCATTCCCTTTATAAAAATGTTTTTTGTGTTTGAAGACTATTCTGAAATTCTCCTTCAGTTTTCTTTATACTAAATAGCTCCAATTCTTCCAATCATGCTTAAGTGCAATGCTGAATAGAGCTAGATTGAAGCTCTTGATTTAAGTTAGGCATATGCTTAAGTAATCTGCTGAATCAAGACCAGATCAAGTTCATCAATATATTGAAGAACCATGGAAAGATTAAGCGGTAACTGATGCAGGAAAATTGTCCTGGTATTGACAACATAATTGTGAAGCCAATCTGAGCTGAGTGAATGAGACAAAAAGACTCATCAAAGAATAAATTGTTCTTTTACTTAGAACATGTCTCCTCCTCTTTCCTTTGTGCAGAAAGCAAACAAGTGAGCAATCTAATACCTGGCACTCATGGCAGTGGAAGATAAATTTTGGCATGTGGGTAAGAAGGGCATGCGTGTTCATCCAGCCAAGGCATAGATACAATATGTGGAAATATTTGGCCTTCCCACACTAAAATTAGCAAAACTCCAATTTAGAATATTCATCATTAAGTCACAGAGTTTAAAAATATATTAAAAAGGCTTTTGTTGGATTAAGTAGGGAAAAAAAATGTGACGCTCTTGTGGTTATTCTATGAACAGAGAAAACGGTTGAATTAGAGTTGATTAAATTGTTCTCAATGATTTATTCACTCCACCCTAAGCGGAAGGCCAAAAATAGGAATTGATCACAAAAACATTCACTAAAAGAGGGAGGGAGAAAATAGTTATTAAAAGGAAACATTATTACTACATTCAGTGGAATTTACTCTGTGTGGCTCAACTCCTAGCTACACTAGTGTGAATCCAAAGGGAACCCAATGACTGATTTCAGTAGACTTACTCTGCTTTCACACTGGTGAAACTGAAATCTGTGACTGCCTGTGCACTGAGGGGCAAGGAAAGAGATCAAGAAGGTGACTGACAGGACGGATGATTGGATCAGAGGCTAGAGATGTTTACACCCATTAATGGCCACGTAAAGGGACTGCTGTCCTGCTGACCTGCCTAACAGATGGCTCTATAGGGCTGTGGTGTTCTTGTGTGCTGGCTGGCAGTAAGCACAGACTTTGCTAGATACATGCTACATATAGATGGTGTGAAAGTCTACTGTAATTCTTAGGAGTAGGCAGAGATGGAATGGTAAAGGGAGAGTAGGAAAGTCAAAAAGCCCTAGGGATGGAAGAATCCTGTCTGAGAGGAGAGGACACTCTTAGAAGTTAGGCAACACCTTGCATCAGTGTGACATGAAGGAAATGAAGGCAAGGAGGCTAATAGGAAAGGATTCTTCCCACCGTGTGTGGGAACTCTAGCAGGTGGTTTGTAAAGTTTATAGTTCTGTTTCACCTGCCTCAGCTGTACATGTGACACAATCTGTGATAACATTTACCCAGGCCCCATGACATGAGAAAGAAGATCCCCAATTTTTATATCCATCTCAAAGAGATTATATCAGACTAGACAGGGATCATTGGGACATAGGGTGCTCTCATGTTGCCCCACGTCATGAGGTTGACGGGTAGAATCCTGCCCCTCCCCACTCCCCTGCCCACCTCTGAGCAGCCTGGGGACAAGCAGTGGAAAAGGATGTTTTTATGGAGCCTTAGGTTGGAATATAGATGATTGAATTGCATTCCTGGCCCCTGTTAAAACAAGAGAGGTTAGGACTCAAAGGCATCAAGATTTACCTTAGGCAGCCTGTATTTGTCTCTGAAGTGGGTCCTGAGTGTGGCTCTCTCTGCTTTGCGCTGAGTAAATTGAGCATCCCTTTCCATTCTGGAAACAGAGATTAGAAAACAAGTCATATTTTCAGCCACCTCCATGACATGGCCAGAGTCCACTCTGGTCACTAGGATGATACATTTCCAATAAGGGTTACTAATCCCAAGTACCGACATGGAGGCAGGGCAGGGCCTAATCAAATATCAACCAGTCTCTGTTAGACAAAGGGGGATAGGAGGCAGAGAGGACTGCTTTCTAGTTGACATCCTGAGGAAGCTTTCACTGCCTTTTGTCTTTCAGCCACACTGAGGTGTACGGAACATCAAGGGACAATTCTCCTGGTCTAAGTAGATGTCTGGACTCAATTAAATGTCAGATATGGCCAAAAAAAGCCCTACCATGTTTCTGTTCAACAACACAAACATGGGAAAATAAAACCCATGGGGGTGTGAAGAATTATCGGTCAGTGTGTTAGAGATTTGGCAACTTTGGTTTCTTAAATAATGGTGAGTGGGAGCCTAGGAAAGCAGATGGAAATGACAGGATGTTCCATTCATCTCTTTGCTTCTTTTTACCTCACCTGATTTTTTTCCAAAGCCATTGCTTTTATCTACATTTCACAGCCAACAACTAAATACATAACAACACAACATATTCCTTAAACAGTTAGACCAATTGCCACATTATTCCAGTGTATTAAGCAACCCAAACTGGACAATGCTAGTTATCAGCTTTCTTTTTTAAAGCAATGTAAAAGACCTTACAAGCATGGGATATTTTTTCCCCCAGTAAATTTCTTTTTCTACCCCATTTGGGAGGACATGGTGGTTATGAATTTGGTCCATGCTGAGGCCAATGTTTCTGGCAAAACCCACTATGAAGCTATTTTAGACTGAAATCTGCACTGCTTCAGCTCTACAATACAGGAATCAAAGACATTAAAAGCTAACTTCATGAGGGAGAACTATCCCCAAAACCCCATAGTGAAATGTGGCCCATCATGAGAAAAACAATCCCCTCACTGGGATGCAAAAGCGGATTAAAAGATTACAGCTTTCATTAAAAATGTATTACTAAAATTCCCCGCCTTCTGCAACAATGTTCAAGTGTTTATTTCAATTTCTTTTTGCAAAGGGGGAGGCAGGGGGTGGGGAGTTTCTTTGAGAAGAAAAGAAGGGCAGCTGTCAGCCCTGGGTTTAAAACCAACCGATCTGTCACAGCAGCTGCCCTAGCTGCTGTAGCAGCCCACGGTGTATAGAAGCACTGTGGAATGACCCGGTTTCGAACTCGTGCTCAGGTTAGTTACAAGTAAAGACAGGGGCTCGTCCTATTTCTAGCCTCCATACCATGTCAGCACCTCACCGGCAAGGCTGCTGGCTGACATAAAGAAAGATCACTGAGTTGATTCAAGCAGTCTTCACCTGAGATCCTACAGACAGAGACATTTCCCGTTCCTCTGTATGTTGCATCCCTTCCTCCTTCAGTCCAGCCCAAGAGTAATGGGCAATACAAACCCGGGGCTCAACATAAGGGCACCCACAATGGTCCCTTTTCCACTTTGTCCTGCAGGGTTGCTCCCCGTGGACTAGTGTCCTGATTTGCAGGACCCTATTTTCCTTGCCTACCTACTGAACCCTCCCCTTGTCCCCAGGTGAATTAGCCAACCACGAGTTGAGGCATCTATGATTATATGAGGCCCCTTCCAATGGGCAGTAGAGTAGACAACGTGGGCACTGGGCTCCCAATGCCACAGGATATCCGAGATCCCCCTGCCCACAGCACCCGGGGAGAAGCATGGGAGTGGACATGGCACAAAAGCACCCAAGGGAGCCCAGGGGCACTTACTTTTCCTCCACCAGCTGCTTCTGGTATTCTTCATATTCCTCCCTCGTCATGCCTTGGGCTTCGGCTGGGGATTTCTCGCTTTCTCCCTTCTCTTCTCCTCCCAGTCCCCCAGTAAGGTTCTTCAGCTGGCCACCCACCATAGTCTTCACCATGAACGCCATGGCGGGGCTGGCAGACGGGGGGCCAAGTCGGTGCTGGACGAAGGAGAAGCAGCGCTGTGGAGGGGCTCACATGGGCAGGGCGCGCTCCCAGCGCCCCTCTCCGCCGCCCATCGGGCGCCCGCGCCCCGTTCAGCACCGCGGCCGCGGACAGCTCCGAGCG